ATGTAATTAAGGTCGGGGCTTTTTGCATCTATACCCGATTTTGGGGTCACAATTGAAATTATACCCACTTTGCAAGCAAGCCTACACTTTACGATCAACCTCAGACTTATCTGGTGTGGAATTTAAAAAAAATTAGCCCGAAGTGAAAAAATTATACTATAGATGCACATAAGGCCAAATAGGCCTGAAGTGAAACCAATGGTTTCATGCACTTGAGGCCAAATAGGACTGGAGTTCAAATTGTGGAGAAACATAAATTTGTTCTTAGAATTTTAACAATCAATATACGATTTAACACCTAAATCTACTCCAAATGAGCTCAAATTTGAAAAATAACCTTCAAATATCATCAAGAACAAAACCTAATCATCAATTTGTCAAAACAACAATAATTCTAACGAATCCATTTTACAATTAAGAAAAAAAAGTAGAAGAAATCCTAATTAGTAGTAAAAATAAATAAAGTGTCACAACAGCTCACCATTGTAAAACACCATAAACTACCTTAAAATATGTTCACAAACACAATATAAATTTATTGTCACACGAAGAAGAAGAAGAAGAAGAAAGAGGAGAAAAAGGCTTAAGTTATTTAAACTTTGGGTACTAGTTAAAAAAAATTTAAAAAATGGGTACAAATTAACATTAAGGTCGTTGTTAACTCTACCCACAGAATTGCTCTATATGAGTTCTGATTTTGTGTTTTCATAGAACTTCTCTACTGTATGGGATAATTGTTTAAAGAAACACAATACTCCAAATAAGTTATACAAATAATTTATATGACCTTAGGGAGGGATCCTTTGGTTTTGAAGCAAGTTATGCATGGATGAAGAAGAAAAATAGTATAGTTTAGAAACATATTATGTACGGATTATAATAGGATATTAATAATACAGTGTTAGTAATAAAGGTATTTTATTCTTCGTTCTATAAAATTTAGGTGGGAATAAAAGCAATTTTATGCAGTTTTAGGCAACATCACTAACCAAATATCACTTCAGATAGGGATGTACTTAACTTTGTCAAACAAGAACACTAATGTAATGATTATTTTTATTTATTATTGCTCAATAATGACAGCAAATCTAGAGAAGATCAATGTTAATTTTATTCATTATTGCTCAACAATGACAGCGAATCTAGAAAAGATTAATATCCACCCAAATTGTTGTATTAAATATTTGATGGGGATAGAAATGAGACGTCACATAAAAAAAAAGTCTTTAAGAAAAAAATTTCTACTCAAATGGATGAATTTCACATATCAAAGTATTTGAAGAGAGAAGTACAAATTTCCCTATTTTGACTATGCTTAAGAGTTTATTACGGGAAAAATAATTACTCCGTTATAGTTTTATTTCAAAGGAAAAGGAAAGAGAAGAAAAGAAAAGAGAAAGGAGGAAACTTTTTAGGTACTTTGCAAATTATAGAATCTGCCACCAAATTCTCCACCAACAGTCACCATCAAACAATTCAAGCTACTTACGAGATTCTCCATTCTCTGCAAAAGTTCTAGCATTTTTTACCATTTTAATTTCTCATTAATGGAGTGTATCTCCCATAAAAAGCCACACATGGGTTCTTCTGATTTGGTAAGTAAACATCCAATCTCACGTCATTTACAATTTCTTAATTGGTTATGAACAGTGCATTTTCTTTTGTTATCTCGAGAAATCTCCAAGAATTTTGTAAAATATTGTAATTGGATGGTATGTTTCAATAGTTCAATTCAACTATTCAAGTAAGGCCACATGTAAAAGTTGTACTTTCGTCAGACCCCACTTGCCTTATTTTACTATATCTCTCTGCACCTTCCACTTTCACATGTTCACTGAGAGGGTTAATTTGTCTGTTCTGGATTAGCTATGAAGTACTAGTGGTGAATTCATTGCTTTATTTTGTGTGTGTTTATTTGTTGTAATAGACCTTTTTTTTAAGACAAGAATCTAACAAAAGTTTGTGTCTTTAAGCTTCTTTAATTGGTCTGTTTGTTCAGATTTCATGTGATTAGAGGAGTCTTGAATTTTCAAAGTTTCTTTGTTTTTGCAAATTAGGTATTCATTTCTGGTTTCTTTTACTTTCACCAGCTATTCTTGTTGTCATTCCTTTTGATGGTAGTGGTGGACAGAAAGTGTTAAATTCGCTTTCTAGTATTATTTTCATAAACATATAGGGAGTGAGAGAGAGGGCTTATATTTTGGAGCCTATTCAGTACTTGTTCAAAAGTTTGAACTTTGCAGTTTGTGGCCATTGGTTGCAGAAACCATGGCTTCTCTTCTGCGAAATTTCTGGGCAACCCCTCGTTTTGCTCTTAACCAAGACTATAAGCCTCAGTGTATAGCTCAAATCAGGTGCTTAGCTAGCAGGGACTCCACGTTATTGTCTTCAGATACTGTTAGAGTTAATGGTGTACCATCTATTGAGGAAAGGGAGAAAGTTATCCCAATAGATGATGTGGAAAACGGTCATCTGTCTTCAAGTATTAAGGAGAAGAGCAAGGAGGATATTCAAGACAAGTTGGAACCCCTTTGGGATGACGGATATGGAACTCAAACTGTGAAGGATTTTCTTGAGATAGGATCGGACATTATTAAGCCCGATGGAGGTCCTCCGCGGTGGTTTACTCCCATATCAGCTGGCCCTCCTTTGAAAGACTCTCCTCTCCTTCTTTTTCTGCCTGGTAATCTTCATAATGAAAAGAAAAATAATGATTGAACAGAGCTTTTCTTATAATTTAGTGGTACAGCTAGGGGAATTAATATTAGTATGGTAGTCGTAAAATTTGAGGAAAAGCCTTTGAATCAATCAGATGTAGCAGTTCATTTCAGCAACTCATGCATGCGATTTCTAGGATACAGTTTTTATTGTTGAATTTGTGGAGGGTTTTCCTTTGCATTTTTAGATGGAGCAGTACATTTCAGCAAGCCATGCATGCTGTTCCTAGGATACAGTTTTTATTGTTGGATTTGAATGACTAACTAGAACGCTATTCGAATGTATAGGAATGGATGGCACTGGGTTGGGTCTTGTTTTACATGAGAAGGCTCTTGGGAAGTAAGTACCACACAATCTTCTATAACATGTAATAATATTCGTCTGTTCTGGTATTGTTCTTTCCCTATTGATGCCGAGGCAGCAATCAGTCAGCTTCGTGATTCCACAAGTGTATGATACTGTAACTTGCTTGTTGCAGAGTTTTTCAGGTTTGGTGCTTGCATATTCCTGTGTATGATAGAACACCGTTTGACGGTATAGTATTTTTTCTTTCTTCTCTTTATTTAGTGCTTTGTGCATCTGTTGGTTGGTTCAATTAAGAAGCCTTCTATTCTGGATTTATGTTTATATTTGCAACACGTATCAATTTTAGAAACTTTACTGTACAAAATCACCAAGCGAGTTAAAAAAATATCATAGGTTCCTGCATTTGCAAGGATTGATAGAAAGAATTTGGGTGACTACTTGAAGAAGGCACATTGGAGGCTGATGGAAGGAAATCAATATAGAAGGCAGTAGTTTGACATTATGCATGTCTCTCCAATTATCTCACATGTTTCTCTCTTTTGAATGATCGAATTAAGAACCAAACTACTTAATCACATGCTTAGGGAATAAAATTGGCAGAGAGAAGAAATTGGAGTTTTATGTTTTCTTGCTTTCTACTTCTTTTTCTTTTCCATATAGTTGTCCTTTGTATGGTTAACCGCCAGCCAAAAGCTTTAAGAACTGAAATAAAAGGTAAAGGTCTACTTTTTACCGTTTTGGAGATTGGGGTTGGAAATTATGAATGATGCTTGAATGTGTTTTGGTTTTGGTTCATCTGTAAGTGAGATTTATCACAGCTGGAAAAGAATATAGTTTATGATTATATTCTATTTGCTTAAATCGTATAGAGCTGGCGGAATATGTCGAGGAAACTGTGAGGATGAGGCATGCTTCATCTCCAAACAAGCCTATTTATTTAGTTGGAGATTCATTTGGAGGGTGCTTGGCTCTTGCTGTTGCTGCTCGTAACCCTAAGATTGACCTTGTTCTAATATTAGCTAATCCAGGTAAGCTATCAGAAAGAGAGCAACTTCTTACTGTAACTCCTTATGACACGCGGTAATAATCCATTGTCTAATTATCAGTTTCTGTATCTTTCAGCAACTTCATTTGGCAGGATGCCTCTCCAACCTCTGCTTCCTCTTCTAAAGTCTTTGCCTGATGAATTTCATGTGACAGTCCCTTATCTTCTGAGCTTTATTATGGGTATAATTCAATCTCTTTCCCAGAATATAATCGTCTGTAACTTCCAAGTTTCTTGGTGCATTTATTGAAATGTTTCTTTGATTTTTGATCTTAACAAGATATGTGTTTCCATTCTTGTAATTTTAACCGTTGCGTGTTAATTGATGGTCGTCATTTTCCTCTTTAGCTGAATAATATTTCAAGTGTTCATAGTGTTGATATTTCTTCTACTAGAAACTTGTACCATACATAAATCTTGATTATACCTTGCAGTAATCTCGGAACTTTATGAGACATCAATCCAAAATTGAGTTGCTTATGCATTCTTAGTTCTTGTTGATTTTTTCCTGTTCGAAAATTGTGTTGAAGAGGATATATTTCTTATAACCCTTTATTTCGTCCTTTTTCCCTTTTACATTGATGAACAATGTGCAGTTGCAACTGGCAAGTTCTTCATATTGTCGACAAAATAATGTGCCATTTCTGCATCAGGTGATCCAATGAAGATGGCGATGGTTAACATTGATTCCATGCTTCCTCCTAGACAAATTATTCAACATCTCTCTGACAACCTCACTGCTTTCCTGGCCCACCTTTCTGTAAGTTCTGCTTGAACTACTTTGATTCTTCCTGGATTTAGGTTTCTCTATTGCTAAAGGAAGACTTTTGTATAGACTGGTTTTAGCAAGTGCTAGTTTCAGTTTCTTCACTTGTTGTCTAGGATAATAACTATGATATTAACCAAAATGATAGTTCTGTCACAGCTTGGATCAAATTAAAACAGTACTCCTTGTATGAGTGACAGAACTTTTCATGTTTAATTACTCTAGAAATTATACTAAGAGAGTAGAAAAGAGAAGAAAAGAGAAGGCCACAATTAGAAGTAGCAGAAGAGGAGAATGTGCATACTAGAAGAAGAAGAACGGCCGTTGTTTAAAGAAGAAAAATAAGAAGATAGATGCTTCTGCTTGGTCATTCAAATGATTTGAAGTTCCATGTCATTTTTCTCCGCTAGGAAATTGTTTAGGGATTCATGTTACAGTAATTGTATCCCTTCCCTTTCTTCAGGGTGTGGCTGATATTATACCAAAGGCAACTCTTCTCTGGAAGTTGAAGCTTCTTAGATCTGCTTCATCTTATTCAAATTCCCGTCTCCATGCTGTTAATGCTGAAGTACTTGTGCTTGCTAGGTCTGATCTCTATTCTCTTTATGTTGTTGTGACTGAAGTTTTTTGTGCGGGTATGTAGGTTAAAGCGTTTTGCTCAATTCTGAATATTGGTACACTAGGCCTTGTAGTTATGCCTCATGGGCCTTTTCTAGACCAATTATCTAAGAATTAGTTTATGTTTCTTCACCTTTTCTCTTTTGGTTTTTATTTTTATTTTTTCGTTCTATCTCTTTTTGGTGGATCATCTCGTGCAGTACGAAGCATATAAGTAGTCTTTGGAGCAAAACATTTAATTCAAATATCTTTCACTACAGCGAAGGTGAAGTTCATGGGTAGAGTCTGTTTTGGAGTAGTTATCATTTGCTTTACGAAATTGCAATAATCAATTTCATTGTTTTTGTCTGGGATAATAACTCATGCAAAAGAAATACTCTCTCTACTTAGGCTTTCATCAGTTGTTATACTTTAGGGGTCATAATAGTTTTTTTGATAAGGTAAAAGTTATACTTTAGGGGTCATAATAGTTAATAAGCATCAATTTTCTTTTTCCATAATAATCATCACCTTCGGTTCCATTAAATTCTTTAACCTTTCTTAGTTGATGTTCTGAAAAGTGAAAAAAATCTCATGGAACCTAAATTGATGTATATCCTTACGAGCATACTTCTGCCTTATGAGGGAAAGATTGCTAATAATGCTAATATCTTCTGTAGGATTTTCTCTCTGTATTCCATGCATGCATGAGCTTGAATTTATTCTGCCTATTGGATAAACATTTTAAAACAAGAAGTGATGTAACTGAATTGTAATGTATAGTGGCAAGGACAACGTGCTTCCAAGTGCAAATGAAGCTCAGAGGCTAGCAAGTTCATTAAGAAACTGCAAAGTACGGTACTTCAAAGACAATGGACATGCTATTTTATTGGTAAGTGGGGAGTTCTTCCCTTTTTGGGCTCTTATCATGCTTCTTCCTTGAAAAAAAATAAAACTAACTGCTTTCTTTCAGGAGTTACTGTCCTTACTATATTTGTGGTAACTTTAAAGTTTAATCAGACGGTAGCTGTAGGGAGCCTCGATAACTTATCATTGTTTTTAAATTTAAGTTTCATATTGATTTAATTCCCAATTGTTTTTCTTGTTTCTCTAGGTGCCCTAGAAATAGATATTAAGATAACACTTCACTCTTACTTTAATTTACCGATCCAAAATAAGCTGCCACTTGCAGCTTGCACTTCTTAGTTTTCGAAGTTAGAACAATTGAATAATTTAAAAGTTTTCTATAAGTACAAGTCCATCTGGACCTTTTAGATTTTTTTTCTCAAGTGGTGTTCGGTGTTTAGATAATAATGGCATTTGAACATGCTTAAGATTTTATCAAGTTCAAACATGAAGTTTGCAGTAAAAGTAGCATTAGAAAAATAAAATTGCCACATTTTACACAGCTATTACTAAACATATACTCTTCTGTTTCTTTCTTCTTCTTATTATTGTTATTATTATTATTATTATTATTATTATTATTATTATTATTATTATTAT